TTTCAACATATAAATATGAAGACTATGAATTATCGAAAAAGAASATAACCAAATGATAAAAACAAAAAGAATGCACTTATGATTACTATAGACATTTTCATAACTATTTTTTCAAACTTAATTTGATACCTCTTCTTTAGGATTTACTTTCAACCTCATCACCAGGACCCTAGCCTGCTAACAGGCGTTCCTGCTGGGGGCCGAGAGAGAATGGGGAGGAGAGGAGCGGAAGGGAACGCCTGCARGAGGCTATTGTTTGTTTGAAATACAACGTTCGTGAGCGAACGGTGTTGCTGATTGGCTGAGCATACCAACTAGGATCCTGTGTGACCCCGTGACTGACTTATTAGACATCAAAACAAGAAGTGTTCGAAAGCGTGCTAAAAAAAGTCCGTGACGAAGCGAACTTAAACCTCAACTGAAAGACGCCGTGAAGCAACTAACTTTAGGTGGTGATCTGTTAGCAGTCCTTCTTACGGGACTAGGGAAGATTATGATCTTTAAAACTCTCGTAAAAGTCTCGACAAGAATGAATGGCCCTTCGCCCAAGTTATCGGCCGGAGCCGTGGATGAAGTTTTCCGTTTGTAATTTTCTTCGCCAACTTCTTCCCGGGCCTCTTTCTAACTTCTAAACAACGAAATCTTCGAATCGCATCAGTACCTTTACGACTTACTGAATTCTTGCTTCGACAAGTCATCTATGTTTACGCTAAAGATAATTCTTCTTTCTTTAAATTCTCTGTAATGTAAGGAATTGGGTTCATTGTTTACAAATTGATATAGGGCTCCKAAGTTTTTGATTTTCCTGCGACAATGATACAGGCTTTATCAGATTGCTAATTCTTGTCGTTCTCTAATAAACATTTTCGCTAAAACAACGCCAACAGAACCTTGTCGTAGAGAGTGTTTGAATAAGTTTCCAGATGATATCGATCTTTTCTTTCATCCTGAGACGCCAAATTCAACTCGAAAATTACAGTTACATAACATGTTTCATTCGGATCGCAAACGTTGTGCATGATATTTTTGACCAGTACACACGTGTGACATGTTTGATCGGAAGTTTAACTTCCGTTATGTGAAATTTGATTGATCCACTTTTCGCATAGCTAATTAGGGGGTGTATTTCAAACAAACAATAGCCTCYTGCAGGCGTTCCCTTCCGCTCCTCTCCTCCCCATTCTCTCTCGGCCCCCAGCAGGAACGCCTGTTAGCAGGCTACCAGGACCCTGCTCTTCACGCTTTCAAAATGGCAGATGCTTTCAACAACTTTCCATAATAAGGAGACACACTGGCATTGCACTTAAATCCATTCTATTCAGAGTCTCAAACTATGTTATGAATGACAGGCGGGAAATAACCCAGTCACCTGGAAGAGAAAATGCTTTGAGTGACAACTACATACTTAGATAGACATTTCCTGAAGT